TACTTTTAATAAAACAACAACAAGAACAATAAATATAAAAACAACAAGAACTAGAACTTTTTTTACATAGGCTACAATTAGGCTTCGTTTACAAGCCTCATTTTCGTGATTCTCCTCCCCTCGACCGACATTTCCACCTTCACTTTTGGAAATGATTAGTCTCTCCTCGAAAGGCTGCCATGTAGCTCTATCAATAAGCAGAATTGAGCCACTTTCTGTCAGTACTTAGAAGGGGCTCTGCGCTGCTGCTGCCTTCCTCCTCTGGCTCCATCACTCCAACAATGTCCGCGAAAAACACCTCATCTTTTGGCTTCTGTTGAGAGTTAATAAACACATTGATTACACACTTAAAGTATTGGCTTTATAGTATTTGTATCACTTTTTCATGGTTTTCACAAAAGTCACTTCAGTTTGGATATAACTTACATTCTCAGAGTTTCGTTTCATGTTAATAAAGATAAAGATTCCGTAAAGATATTTTAAGTATAGGTCACATAATTATCATATTCAGTTAAACTGGCTAATAACTTTAAAACGTCCTCAATTAATAGTTTCCTAACAATTCTAAAAACTGAGACTGAAACCTCTGTTTTATTTTATAATAGTGTTTAAAAATGCAAGAATTTTCTAAAAGTACCTCAATGTTTGTGTAGTTTGACGATTGCAGCTGTAGCCCGTAGTCCGTGTTGCTGCATTTCATGTGCGTGACTCGCACTCTCTCCCCAAGGTTCACTTCGAGGACTACAGCCTCCCTCCAAAGTTTGATTTGGATTCTTGATGTGTCCTGTTAAAAATAAGGGTCACAATAAAACAACAATTTATTAAAAAAAGTGTCATCTTAAAGTGACAAAATATGTTTCTACTTTTCAACAAGTATTTAGCGCATGCTTACCTGATCCAGAATCATTCTCCTCATCGGAATGACGTCTTTTCCGCTCCTTACCGGCTGTACTGCATTGATCTAAAAACAAAAATAGTGCTTTGTTAATTGTTCTTTTCTTTAGTTTGATAACTACATTCAAAAACTGAACTTTTCCATTCTTATGTGCAGCATTTGTTGCGACGCACAATAAATCTTAATAGAAGCCAAGAAATACCTCTACCACCTCCCCCTCAACCGACATGAATCCCATTACATCTCGACACTCAGTGATTTGTTTGAGCGGTGAGGCAGGATGGATCATGGCCTCTGCCTCTTCAATAAGTTGTTCCGGTACTGTTATTGTGGAACTTTTAAAAAATGTGGCTTCTCTCCCTACATTCAAAGTGAATGGGGGAGACTGCCCCCGCAGAGTGTGGCCTCTGATTATGTAGGCTTTACCCTCAACCATCTTTGAAGAGAACTCTTCGTAGAGTGTAACCCTGGCAAGGCTGTGGCCGTCGGAAATAACAGCCACTCTATTTTGTTTAATTGTGGCTGCCCTTGCCATGTTCTCATTAAATTCCCAGGTCACCACCCTAGGCTGGTCCTCCACTTTCAGAACTTGCACATGCAAGGGTGGTGGCCTGAAATACGGGGTGTCCGGGCTAGTGGTCAGCAGCTTGATCAAAGCCATGATCTGAAACAATAAGAAATACAGACATTAATTATAAATAACTTGACATTCTCATCAGGCTGTAATGTAGGCTACATTTGACTAAATTAATATAAGTTTCTAGAAGTAAAATTCATTCTGAAATGAAAGGAAACTAGTCCAACTTTCAGTTACTTACAAAATAAATCAAAATTAAAAGCTGATTTAGGCCTACTTTTTAGTGGTGATTCCAAATGCAGGGCTGACGAAAAAGAGGTGCTGTGACAAAGGGTCATGAGTCTTATTCGATTGTGTTTATTTATTATTGTGTTTATTATATTTTTGACAGGTGTCACGAGACACCGGCAGCTTTGATGTACACTATTCTGCATGACAACCAAGTCGGCCTGGGATTGGATAAAGAGGGGTAGCCTATACCGAGACGCGGTTAGGCTTTTGGGGAATGCCTCATAGCAACCAAATCACCCTGTGATTGGATAACAGGGGTATCCAGGAGACGCGGTGGCTCTGATGTAGGGAAGGCTTCATGACAACCAAGTCGGCGGGGCACACGTTGAATACATAATAATACAGTAGTTCAAAATACAAAGTACAAAATTGACTTTTATTTTTGATATCTTTTTCAACTTTTTGAGATATTGAATTTAGTTTGGAGCTTAGCAGAGAGGCCTTTTTCCCATTAAAGTGAATGGAGCAGGACAGCTCGAAATTCTCCCCCAAAAATGTGGCTGGGGGTGTTGCCAAATTGCTAGAGGGCGTTGCCAAATGTCCCCATTTGTTCAATACAGGATTTAACCATGAGATGGCGCTTCATTCACAAATACACAAAGACAACTTGGTGTTGTAGAACTTAGTCTGTTTGCAATGTTTGCAGCTCTGCAGTTGTGTTTGTTGAATACTGTAGCATTTAATCACTTATTTGTTATGGTTTTCACAAGCTACTATAATGAAAAAACATCAGTTTTAGATCAAATAAAGTATATAGTTTGCTTTATGCAGTATATTTTGTGTAATATTGTTGGGGTGTTTTTACACAGTACAGTAGATTGAAGTAAATCAACTTATACATTAAAGGTGGGGTAGGTAAGTTTCAGAAACCGGCTCGAGTGCACTAAAATTTGAAAGTACGCAGCCGAAAATAATCCGCCCCTTCCTTCAGACTTCCTTACAGAGCACCTCCTCCAACACACATGAACGCGCACATGACGTCAGCAGACTGGTGAAAGTGGCCGCCTGTTGCTGGCGAGTCATTGAAGTACTGCTGCAATGCACGCCCAATGACGGCACGCCCAATGAGGGCACGAGATACATTTGTGCGTGATGGAAGGCTGACAGACAGGGCGGCAATCCAATCCGTTTAGCCGAGCCGGCTAAACGGCACAGATTCACACAGATTAATAAAATCAAAATAAGATGAGCGATAAAAATAAAAATAATAATAATGAGAAAACTATGTAATAAGAAATGCATAAAACAAAAATATAATTATCATATCATATATTGTAATGTATTGTATTAAGTAATATCATACATTAACCCCATTATAGCAGATGCCACATTGAATGGATGAACACATTTATGCATCAATAATTACAACAGAGTATTTCTAAATACAAGTTGTAAAATACTTATATGTATTTAATATTAATAACATAATGATTAATTTCAGATGATAATACTTTTCAGGGTTAGGTCCGGTCTGACAGCTCTCTGCTGCAGAGAAGATCACTGCTCTAAACAAAGTCAAAATCCTACATCCAAACGGAATAAATATAATTAATTATGATGAATACGTTAAGTCTTGTTCATTGTTTTTTCACTTTTATTAAATGTTTGATATTTCCGGCACAGACCCTTTCATACCGGCAATGCGCGATAGAACAACAGAAAGTGCGGACAGTTTTAAATATGCCAGTGTTAATTTCGTCAACGAAAACTATGATGAAAAATGTTCGTCAACAACCTTTTTTTACATGACTAAGACGAGACGATGACGAGCTAAAAATAGATTCTTGATAAGGAAAAATATGACGAAATGTATATTTAGTTATCGTTGACGAGACGAGACTAAGGTGTTAATGGTGGACTATCGGACATTCAAAATGCAGCATATTTTCCCCCAAGTGTCCATCTTGTCTGTCAAAATGCATCTTACGTTTCTAACTTGCAATATCATTATTTCCGCTCTCTTCACTCCAGAAGAGCGATCTCCCTGTGTCTCTCTGTGTGCGGGGGGCGGGGCCTAACAGACATGCTGCAGCGGACACAGAGATCTGCTGGGGACGGAGCATTCAGAGAGTATAGAGACACATTTTGACTAAAAGTTGACTAAAATGTGACTAAAACTAATAACCATTTTCGACTAAGACTAAATCAAAAAACAGCTGCCCAAAATTAACACTGAAATATGCGAACACAAACCTACAGACTGGGGGTTGGAAGATCACAGGAGGGGGGGAGAGCTGTGGAATGTGACCACCACCTTGGGAGACTTACTCCACACATTCCGATGGCCAATTAGTTTTAAACAAAGAGTTTGCAGCATACAGCACAGGCAACATGGGGGTGGGGGCTTCTCAAAAGATTTTTTGTTGTTGTTGTTTTGTGTCAGTTTTACGTCGCCACTTCCATTCACATTTTTCATCATTGTTCATCATGAAATTAATATCCATATATGTTATACTATACTTGCACTGCTTACCGTTTTCATACTTTATATATCTTAGCATATTCATACACACTGTTAATACTGCTCACAGGCTGCTAGTGTATTCATACTAGTGTTGCACGGTGTTCTTGTACCGATACTTGAAAGGTACCGCGATACCCTGCCGTTTAAAAACGGTACGATTCCTCCGTTTCATTAGTATCGGTACTTTAAGAATGACGGGGAAAAGTACTCCGGTGAGAAAGCGCCGTTTTAATAAGAGCCGTGTGTGTTCAGCGCTCTGCTTCCACTCCCTGCACTGCAGCAGTGCCTGCAGTCCCGCCCCTCTCAAGCACGCTCTAAGTCCCTTCCCTCTCTCGTGCACACGGCCACGCGCTAGCTGCCAGAGCGTGTGAGAAAACGAGAAGCATGGCTTGCCGCTGCGCCTCGGCTTGTTGACAAAAAAGACGCCAGAAGCTAAATTTGGAAGTATTTGAGCTATATCTCTGACAGTGAGGGCAAGGCCTACGGACACCACGAGGCCTGTCTGTGAGAAATGTTTCAGATCCCTGCAAACCAAGGGATCCAACACATCAGACTTGGCTAAGCATCCCGCCGACCGGAATCCAGAACTGTTTTAAAGAATTTAAAGACAGACAGGTTAGCGAATGTGATAGATAACATAATTACATCATGCTCAAGCCCTCAAATCTAAGTCAAACAAGTGTAATTTATTTTGTGACAAACGAACGTTTTCGTAGTTGACGAGGCAATTAATGGCAATGATAACTGTCTAATATGGCTATCTTTTTAGCTAACTTACCAATGTGGCTAACATCTGCAATATACATTTTGTCAATAATTATTTATATTACTGTACTATATCCGTTTGACCTTCTGATCGGAGGCAGTCCATGCAACGACCTCTCCATGGTCAACCCTCTGAGAAAAGGATTATTCGAGGGAACTGGACGTCTGTTCTTTGAGTTGTACCGCCTGATGACGCTCATGAAGCCGAAGGAGGGCGACGACCGCCCGTTCTTCTGGCTGTTTGAGTACGTTGTGTTCATGAGTGGCCACGATAAATCAGACATCTGCAGATTCCTGGAGTGTAATCCGATCCTCATTGATGCAGTGAAGGTCAGTCCTGCTCACAGAGCGCGATACTTCTGGGGAAACCTCCCCGGCATGAACAGACCTCTGGCTACGGCTATGGATGATAAAGTCGGCCTGCAGGACTGCTTGGAACTTGGACGCATGGCAATGTTTTGAAAAGGTCCCGCACCATCACAACAAAGTCCAACTCGATCCGGCAGGGGAAGATGGGCCCGCTGCCCGTCACCATGAACGGAAAAGAGGATTACCTGTGGTGCACGGAGATGGAACAGATCTTTGGCTTCCCCAAACACTTACACCGATGTGAATAACATGGGTCGAGCTCAGAGGCAGCAAGTGCTCGGGAGATCCTGGAGCGTCCCGGTGATCCGACACCTGTTCGCCCCGCTGAAGGACTACTTTGAATGTGAACAACAACTTTAAACAACAACTGTGAACAGCTGATCCTGCCTTACAAACACCACGGTATTCAATCTGTCCTGATTCACTTTTTCGACGTGTTTTTTCTCATCGTTTTTATCCGCTCTCACCAGCAGGCACCGACACTTCCTCCTCTCGGTGCGTTGATCAAACTAATAATCTACTCCTGAAGCACGAGGGTGAGATTAACGGGGGTTAACTATCTTTCTTTTGGGCTAATCTCAGGTTATCTGTTGTCACAACGATGGTTAAAAAAACCTTTTCCTGACTGAAGGATAAAGATAAGGCAAATGTGGCAGTGAATATAAGATATAGTGGGCCTATCATGGAAAAGCTAAGACATTGAGCTGTCTGAGTGGAAAGTACAGTACTGTGTTAAAGTCCAACTGCTGAGAAGCCTCAGTGGAAATATACTATGTGAATACTGTGTGCAACAAAAACGCGGGGGTCAACCAGATTAAGAACAGAGGCATCCTGTTATGTCCAAACTGATAAGCCACAAGGTTGCAGAACTCATTATTCTCACACTAAATCACCCACCAAGCAGGCGCAACAGTTCACAAGGGCAGTCTTGTGAGTGAAACCAGATAAAGAAGTAACAAAAGCGCGCCGAAGGCTAACCTAAGAGTTGCTAGGGTAGCAACGGCAGATTACACCACAAGAAAGCAGCGATGGGGGGGGGGCTCCGCTAGGAACAGTATATAAGCAGGATGTATTCAGTACTCGAGGCTCTCTTCAACTGGGATCTTACACTGACGAGCTTGTCACGGTGAGAACTCAAGAAGAAGGAGTCCAAGGCGCTTTGTGGTATAGTATCAGATTGATGTATCTTTGTTTGAACTGTGTAATAAAGTGCTTATTTGAAGAGAAACAATCCATTGGAGTGCAAAGTCTAGTTTTGTACAGCTAACAGAGAATAGTGTCTAGGACACAATTCCTTTTCCCTCAGAACTAAGAACGGTCATCGGCAGATCCGGACAGCGACCCCGCTCTAGCCATATCCAAACGATCTGCGCGGAGGACGGACCTGGTCCGGTAGGACTCCAACATGACCGATCAGCTCAGGTTGTAAAAAGTATTAATTCCTACAGGAAACACAAGCAGTCAAGACATTTGTTTGCCTACCCATTATAATAAACAATCAGGATTAATTGAGTCAGAGCTTTACTTCTATCCATTATTGTTGGTTCATCATTAGAAAAAAGCCTTAGTAATACTTATTAATAGCCTAATTTCCATATTTGGACATTCATTTCAGGGTCTATGCAGGAATCCTGAAGTCAAATGTAATACCTTTTTAAGACCCTTTCCATACATTTTAAGACCTCATCTCCACTTGGAGTTCTAACCGGTTACCTTGGCGACAAACTTTACCTCACATTGACTATATACAGTATTGATTGTCCTTCCTCCTTATCTTCCAACCATTTGGACGCAGACTTGCATTTCCCCATAACGATGTTGTTTAACAACCGGCGGTAAACGGACCTTCGCGCGCTATCAAGCAGTGAGCGTGCGATTGTCCTGTTCAGATGACGTCAAACCCAACGGGATGCCATAAATAACTACACAGAATTAGGGGTGCACCGAATGGGAAATTCTTGGCCGAAACCGATACCAAAAATAGGAAAACAGTTGGCCGAATGCCGAAAGGCCGAAAATGATTAATAGAAATAATATATTATATATATATATAATGTATACATTTTTTACCAATGTTGTTCAGCTACCTGATTATGAAATAGACATGATTATGGCAAAACTTAACTTAAATAATAACACTATTATGGGTCCATAAAACATGTATTCAGCACTTTTGATGATCTTACAGTACATTTATATATGTCATGTATTATTGCTAAAAACATTATATCGCAGTCTTAGTGTCGCCAACTCGTTTCTAATATGCAAAGACAACAAATGCGTCTATGATGTATTTTTCGATTCAGCGAGATCCTCTCTCCCCCGTCTGTGTGCGACGGGGGGCGGGGGGCAGTTTACACACACGAGAGCAGCTGCTACATCTGGCGGAGAGAACGCGCTCCGAGGTGTGGTTAAACTTTACCCGTCTCGATGTGGAGAATACTGTTACCCTAAGTGCAATAAGAGTTAGCATGTAAGCACGAGCAATTTGTCTAAACATTTAGCAAATAGTGCACCGCATGCGACGGAGGAATGTACCGGGTTCGACCGTCTTTCTAGCAGCTCTGTAGCCCCATCCACGAGTAACGTTTCCACGTCAGGTGTTGTGTATTGCTAGCAGCAACACACAGAGTTAACTACATGATTACAAACATGGGTTAATGATTTAGAGGAAACTGGAGTTATTAGTTTGTTAAAATTTCAGCTATTCTGTTTACAGTCTGTCATCAGATTATTTAATACGATTTGTTAAAGGCTCAGGGGCAATCTCGATGACAAAGGTCAATGTTCCCCCCCCCCCCTCCCTGTGAGCCAGCCGTCATCACAACAACCGCGTTAGGTTACCAACAGTAAGCCTGTTCTGACATTTCGGTGATATTTTTCTCGGTGCTAAAACCCTTTCGGCCGAAAGCCGAAAGGGCCTTTTAACCATTTTCGGCCGATAATTTTCGGTGGCCGAATATTCGGTGCATCCCTACACAGAATCACACTACAACCTACGCAATGATTACATTCAGGCACACTGTAGAATACAACCTCTTTGGAGAATTTCATATACTTATTGAAAACAATGCTACAAAATCTAAAAATGCCGTTGTTAATACTTTTTAGAACTTTTTAATAGCCTTCGTTTTCAACTTGTAATGCTTTGTAAGACCCCGCGGACACCCTGCCTTTGCCATATCCATATTTGGACATTATCCATAATATTTTATTACAAGGGCACTGTACCAAATATTCTAAAGTTTCACCAAATTAGGAACAAAATATAAATCAGATTATGTACGTTTCTTGCAGCCCTGTTATCATAGTAGGAACTTCAATTCTTCATTCATAGCTGGATATGTGGATTATAAATTAACATTTACATGTGCTTAATGTGTCTGTGCAGATACAGATAAGACACTAATATCATTTCAATCAGGACAGACGGTTCTGATGTAAGAATACATATTGTGTGCCAGAAATACACAAATGAATGTAATGGAGTTTTGGCGATTAGGCCCCGTTGTGCGGGAGTATCATTCGGGAAGGGAGAACCGAAGGTTTAGCGGAGCGCTGTGATAGGCTTGTGAGAATAAAGCGAAGTGATTGGTTAAGCTGGGAGTGATGCCCCCGATCAGTTATTGAGAGGAGAGGGAGTAGTAACATCGACATAGGAAATGAATGAGTAAAGACGGTCTTCCTGGTTGAACTTGCGCTGAGGTTCATTTGTTGACATTTAGCCTTTAAAAAAAACTATTTTCGTTAAATACATTTTTTTTAAAAGCTCGTAATGTTAAAGTAGGAACTTGTGTAACCATTCATAGCTGGATATTTGGATTATAAATTAACATTTAAATGCTGCCGATCACGTTATATACATATAATATATATTTAGTGATTATCTGTTATTCAGCATCATTTTTAATCCCGTTTATCTCGCTCTGTGCTTCAGGCTCTATCTCAACATCCATCAGTCAGTATTTCTGTATTTTTACCGTAATATTTTACCAGGTTTCGATCCAAACATGTTCATTGTCAGCTGATTTTTGTATACGTTTTATGCAAATGGTATTCATCTCTCTGTGGTTCTTTACAGAATCACTCACTGGTTGGTGCTAAACTCTTATTATCCTCCATTATTCTATTACAATGTCTGCTTTTAATACTGAGGAATTGAGGGAAAATTGAAGTAACTTGAAATTTTGAAGTGAAAGTTTGATACAGCGTATTTTTGGTATATTCATCTTAATGTCCCCTGATATATAAGAAGTGTGTTTTTATATATTCATGTGTGTACTTAATTACTTTGTATTTAATAGTAGCAGTTTATATGAACAAGAAGCTGGAGATATGAGAAGTGGATGGGACAGAGAGGAAATACCCTTATATAGACATATGCTATCGACAGCAGAGGGTAGAATGTGTGTGTGTGAAAGCTGCTGAAATACCAGCTGTTTTTGCTTCATACTAAGACTGTTTCCGGATCATCTCGGCTGGCACGCGCTGATACGCTACGAAAGCCCATCATTTGTAAATGGGCCAATAGATTACCTGTATGGGAGGACCATGCACACAGCTCCTCCTGTTGTTTTTACAATATCTCCTGTTGAGCCCTTGTGTTCGTTCTCTTTTCTCCTGCTGCCAAGACGAGTAAGTAAGAGTTCCCAGCGGGAGGAACCAGGGCCGGGGTAATCCGGATTACTTCGTGAAATTGTGTTATTGTGTCTTTTGCCATTAAATCAGCATATTTGTTATAACCTTACCAATGGTTGCTGTGAATTCTTCCTCTGTTAATCTGACCCATTCACAAAAGGATGCGTGGAGGCAGGGGGGGGCCTTAGAGCCCCCGCCAAAGAATGACTCTGCCACAACAAAGTAGTGACAACGACGTGGGTGAAAAGGGTTGTTTAGAGGAAAACACTAGCAGCCAGCGGACGGAGGGAGATGCCTGGAATAATCTCTGACAACTAAGGATCCTACAACTGAAAGGTAAAACGGACGCCTGTTTCTATCGAAGGTCTGTAATTGGCTCAAGCTAAATTTTAGAGTTGTCAAAGATATTTCCAAGTGTCATTTACGGTAAAGAATGCAATGCATAGTTTAGCATAGGTAGGTAGGTAAGTTAGAAATAAATAAAGCAACGGTTAAAAGCTTCGTAGATTTTTCAGAATCATACGGCTAAACTCGTTAGCTACAAGTGAAGCAGTGAAGTATTTTCAGCGTCAGGTATTGAGTCTCTGGCGACTGGAAGGGTATAAGAGTCCCTACGCCTAGTGGAGGTATCGAGTCCCCACAGGGTATACTTCCTGGGGGGGTCAAATGGTTGTATCGAGTCTCCATCCGTGACCAATCAGAATAATGCTTTCCAGTGTCAT